ACAGAGTAGTCCAAGCCTCTTTTCTTCTATGTTATACTCAGAAGCCCAAGCCCTTCTAGCTGTAGGAGGAGAATGAGAGACATTCAGAAGTCTTGCATATATTCCTTCCATTGCACCCAGGAGAAATAGCCATGAGCAGGCCCCAGGGCCTTCACCTCTCCACACAGAGAAGCTGAAATGTCTCCACTACAGTCTAATAACCACCAGAGACCTTAGGCCCCCAAGCAAGAGTTTCCTACAGGGCATCACATGGGTCCCTGAGTCACTACACCACTATAAACTACAGCTCTGTTCCGTAAGGGACCAGAAGGCACAGTCAGGGCAAGAAAGAAACATGTGAAACTTAAGGATATTGTGGCTTTAGCTTCTAGGCCTTGAGCCTGTCCCTACCCTCTGTTGTTCTAGACCTAACAGTACAATTCCCCACCAGTGAGATACTTTGAAGAACTTTTTTCTTGTCTGCGTGTGGGAAAGCAATCCACCATTCAGCAGCCTCTTCTCAGTATTCCAGAAGAGTATCTGGGGAAGTAGAAGGAGAATGTTAAACACAGCCCTCTCCACAGATACTAAGATTGAGAATTCTGCAAAAATCTAGATTTTGCTAGCAACACTATGTTAAAGTGTTTTGTTATTTAGTTACATCTTGCCTGAGCATGCAAAAGCTATTAAACATACTGTCAGTGTATTGGGATGTAGCCCAAAATAGCTTACATTTTTTCATATATTGCTAATTATTTTATTTTTCTGAGGCTGGCTCAGTGAGAGAAGAGAGCAATTTCAAGACTTTCACCAGACGATTTACGTACAGAAGTTAAGCATGTCATTATCTGTTACCATGGAAACAGCAAGTAATCCAGAAGATGGAGGAGGAGGTCACTCTGACCATAATTAATATAAAGAATAATGGCTTATATAGATTCTAGTAAAGGATACAATGAGATTCCCTGTAATACCTCTAAACCTGTTTCCCAGCAGTGCAATTTATTCTTTGGGTCAATTTTCGCATACTAGTGGCACTGTGGTAGTTTTAGTAGTTTGATGCTAATTTTGGAAGTGAAAATTAATTTTGCTTAGCAAAAGTTTCCCATCATTTGTAATCCACCCCTTCTCTTTTTGACCATCTTGATGTTTGAACTTAGGGCCTTGAGCTTGCTAGACTTGCGTAATACTGTTAAGCCATGCCTCCTCCAGCCTATTGCATTTAATTCAGCATATTCCAAGATCCAGAGTTTTCTAAACACCAAGCAAATATAAAAGTCTGGCTGTAGGGGCTGGGAAGGTGGCTCAGTGATAAAGCACTTGCCTTGTATGCATGAGGCCCTGGGTTCAATTCCTCAGCACCACATAAGCAAAAAAGAAAAAAAGCCGGAAGTGGTGCTGTGGCTCAAGTGGTAGAGTGCTAGCCTTGAGCTGAAGAGCTGAGGGACAGTGCCCAGGCCCAGAGTTCAGGCCCCACGACCAGACCCCCCCCCTAAAAAAAGTCTGGCTGTATTAGATTTGGCTTTCTTATATGCACCTAGCTATGTTTTCTCAATAAATGAACTAATAGGTAATAATCCAGAGGCACACTGGATTTAACAGTACTTTTAAAAATCACCAAAAGATTTCATTATGTGACCATAGTTTACAGGTAGCACATCTTACTGTATTCCTTTTTTTAAAACTGAAAGTTAGTAATCCACATAGGATAGCTCTTAGCTAAACATTCCATATATTGTAATAGTACGTCCTTGGAGATTCTTATTCAAAAGTGCACAAGCAATTTCATTTTAATCCTTACATTTATTTGAGTAGTGGATTTCTTTTACAGTCTCTTGGGGGTTGCTTTTGTCCTGGAAGCTTGATGACACATTTAATCAAAACTTCTCTTAATTAGTAGTCTCTCGAAAGAACTAAAGAGAATAAAATAGAGAAAGATAAGAGCTGACCTTTCAAGTTTCTGAAAAATCATATGAGGTCAGAAATTACTAAGATTTTGTTTCTTTTAGAATTCTAATCCAAGAAATATAATGGAACTTCTTTCAGGCAGCCTTATTTAAGTGGTAGATTCAGGACATCATCTGGATGTTGAGTGATGTTTGCAAACAGGTGTCCTGAAGCTAAATGGAGTCAATGTACAATTTCTCACTCTTTAGAAGAGAACCACTTTGATGCTGTATGAATGAACGAGCCTTTTTTCGTAAATATCAAGCTTGAAATCATTTAATCAAGAGTGTAAATCACTTATGTGCCTCAATTATAGAAATTATGATGGGATTGGCTGGGATATTGATTTCTTTTAGAGGGGAGGGAGACAGGGAGGAGGAGAATTATAGCTGTTTCCTTTCTTTTTTTTCCTTTTCCTTTTGAAATATAATGATATCACATTCCTATTCCAGGAATGCACACAGCATTATGTCCTGCTTGGCAGGCCCAGTGGTCCTGGACTTAGCCAAAAATAAAAACTCTCAGCTGTACTATTCCATAGGCTTCTCAGAGAGCCTCTAAAATAATGGACAGTGCACTTTCCTGTATATATTTATGTGCAGATAATTTATTTAAATAATGTTGCTGGCACATGCTTTATAGCTGCTTGCATTTTGCTACACAGATTCCAGCATATCTTGCAGACTATGCAATTCATTTGGAAAATGTAATTTCCATCCCTGCATACTAATCGATTCCTTCACAAACACCTGCTATCAGTTATGATAATAAAAATGCCACTCTGAATTGAAAAGGGGCCAAATAGAGCTTCCTAAGGAAATGACTTAAGTGTCTTTGAATGCTACTAAATGTAGTAATGTGCTTGTGTAGTGCCAACATTTTTTTCATCATTTGCATTTTCTGTGATTTTTGCCCTATTACACCATCCTTCATTCAAATGATGCCTCATAACCATTTGGTGGTGGGTTGGTGAACTGACTTGTTAGGAGGTGGTATCTCAGGGTGTGGGTAAGATGTGCTGCACAGCGTGATAAAACACCAGCTTCTGCTCCTGGGTATGGCCTGGTCATTTCTGATTTTATAAGTCCCTGAAAACTGTAAAACTGCCTGCTTCCTTGGCTTTGCACATACACATACACCAAATAAAATTTCCTTTATTCATTCTCCTAAGCCTCCAGTTCATTCCACGCACCATTGCCAAACTAATCTTCCTAAATCGCCAATTCTATCATGTCCCCTGCAACCCCCAAACACCGTCAGTGGTTCTCAATTGGCCGCCCCATTGAGCCTAACTTTCCCCATTCTCTCTCAGCACCTGAGGTGGCTCACCTTCCTCTCATTGCTCCCAGGCAGGCACTTGACTTCTTGTTCAAGCTCCTCTCCTTCCTGCCTTCACTTCTCATCTCTGGGCTTTTGCTTATGATCTTGCTGTCTTGACTGAGTTGCCTTCCTGATTCTTGAGTTTTCCATCTTTCTAAGCACACTTGCTCTCCCAGTCCACATTTCTCCCTCTCTCCAGATGCCTCCTGAATATATTTCTTTGCTGTATGCCTTGACATAAGTTTCTCATTTGTTCATTCAGCCTACATATATCGAGTGCCTACTATATGCCCCCATTCACTGCTTTCTCTTCCTTCAAATGTAGTAGTTTCTTTTTAAATGTGACTATGTTTCAAATTCCTTGAGAGAAGCAACATCTAAGATGCCAAGTAAGAAGTCAGACCTGGGCACATCGAAGTACACCACAGATGCTCTTGACTAAATGATCCCAAATGGCTTGAAGTAGGGAATTTCTGGCTAATTGCCTGTTCTGTTTGATTAGTATTTTAGTGTCTGCTCTCCATGGAATATCATTTTGTGAAGGGGGATACTGTAAAACACTTAACTGAAATTATTACCATAATTTGATGTTTGATAATGGTGGAGAGAATTCCCTGAGGTCTCACAGCACCTGTGCAAATGCTATGATCTTTGTACTGCTCTGTGCAGGTGAGGCATGCCAGGGGTTAACCTGGATCTTGACCTAGGACACAAGGGATGTGGTGAAACATGGAAGTAAGCATGTATTGAATCTGATGTATGATGGGTGCCCCACTATGCCCTCATATAGCAGAAATTATATCGATGACAGATTTTCTTTCCTACCTTTTTGTGTCTTTCCTGAAATGGGGGGGAAAAGATGAGATACTGGCAGAAAGAGTAGAAGGGAGACTGGCTTTGTAACGACTAAAAGGAATGCTAAACACATGTAGACTGACACAGTACAAGGAGAGAGAAGGCAAAGGCTTGAGTCAGCAGGTGGGTTTACAGACTGTTTTTGCAATTTGGCTTGCTGGGGCAGGAGGGTGTCCAGTATCAGGAACCAGGGGATTACCCTCCCCAGTCTTCGTTTGCTACCATTCAGCCTTCTTCAGTGGCTCTCAGCAGTGCCAGAAGCAATATATTTAAGACCCACAGTTAGTGCCTTAACTCTTCTGTGTGAATGAAATCTGAATCTGCATATAGTGAATTTCAGGTTTCACCTAGAAGTAGAGGAACCACTCTGCTTTGTCAGTGGGGGAAAAAAAAGTTTTAATCGGTTGCTGAAACAGATGGAACCAAGTTGCCATTCTGATAGGAGTTAGAGAAAACAATTTGTGCAATTTGTCCCAGCAATAGAGCAGGAAGCAATGGTGTGTATATAAATGCCTCTCTCCCCTGGGAGGCTGTCGTACACCTCAACCTGTGGAATGGATGGTTCTTTGAAAGAAAACAGTACTGCCAAGGAACTGAGCAATCTGGTAGCATAGGCTGTGGCAGATAGGATTCTTACTGGAATTCTAAATACCCTCATCACTGCAGAGCCACACAGACCAGCTTCTGTGAGGATGTCTAGGTTTGGAAGAGAGTTCAGGAGATAAGAATGTAGAAGGAATTAATCCTGTGCCTCCAAGAAGCATTTGTGTATAAAAAAAAGGATACATAGAATAAGTTAAAAACGATTCAGTAGAAGGATTAGGGATGTTGATCAGTGACAGAGCAATTCTTTAGCATTTTCAAAGTAACTCCCTGTACTCTTTCTGTTTGTCCTTCAGCACTAGCTGCTCAGGCCTATGCTCTTAAAGAGGAGAATGACAGCCTCCGCTGGCAGCTGGATGCCTACAGGAATGAGGTAGAGCTACTGAAGCAAGAGAAAGAACAGCTTTTCCGAACAGAAGAAACCCTCACTAAGGACCAGCAGCTACAGTTCCTACAGCAGACCATGCAAGGCATGCAGCAGGTACTGGCCCCCTCTGTGTATGTGTGCCATTGAAAGAATGAGATACTTTGTGGGCCCTGTAGGTGTGAATGTGCAGCCACTTGCAAAAACGGGGGGGGGGGAAGAGAAATGACCCTCCAAATTTTAAGTTCTTAGGAAAGGGAAATTTAAGTTCATAGGAAAAGTTCATGTCTTTTCATGGAAAGGTGGAATCCAGAGAAAAGCCAAGGTAAAGAAATATGTGGAAGATCACAACACTGGAGATGGGAATCAAAGTGTGAGAAGTTTAGAAGTTATAAGGTTATATCTGGTGGTACATATTCATAATCCTAGCAAGGGGGGAGGCAGAATTTGAAGCCAGCTGCAGGCATAGATCAAAATCAAAACAAGAGCCTGGAGCACTGGTCATCCTAGGTACTCAGGAGGCTGAAATCTGAGGATCACAATTTGAAACAGTCCAGAAAGTAAAGTTCATGGGATTCTATCTCCAATTATTTTGCAAAAAGCCAGAAGCAAAGGTGTGGCCCAAGTGGTAGAGTTCCTCCCTTGAGTGAAAAAGTCTAGGGAGAGTTCAAGGCTCTGAGTTTAAGTCCTGTGCCATCATCAAAAATAAAAACAAAAACAAAAACCAAGTCTGTAGGCATGGCTGAAATTCACTATATGCAGATTCAGATTTCATTCACACAGAAGAGTTAAGGCACTGACTGTGGGTCTTAAATATATTTCTTCTGGCACTGCTGAGAGCCACTGAAGAAAGCTGAATGGTACAAAAATGAAGACTTGGGAGGGTAATCCCCTAGTTCCTGATACTGGACACCCTCCTGCCCCAGCAAGCCAAATTGCAAAAACAGTCTGTAAACCCACCTGCTGACTCAAGCCTTTGCCTAGCAAGTAAGTACAAGGCCATGAGTTCATGTCTGATACTCCACAAAAATAAATTTCTCCATGAAGTATAGGCTGTGGCACATGTTAGTAAATCTTTACCAAACATAGCACAAGAGTTTTTTTTTTTACAGGACAACTGATTTTGTTTTCAAAATCAGTGTAAACATAATCTGTATTGTTCCCATTTCTGGATTATACATAGGGTCTCCATAGGAAGGATTGTTGAGGAAATGGATGTGCCCAGTGGGAGCTAGGTAACTTTAGAAATAGGGCATTTGATGTTTTTGTTGAAGAATGCCTGGAATTCTGAATGTAAAGCTCTGCATTTATGATGTTTGTTAGAAAGGAGGTATCTATCTTGGGCTTTCAAGTAGGCAAAAGGATCATACACACTGAGAAGTCAGAAGTTGGAGAGAGAGGAAAGCCCAAGTCCTGGCAGCTGTGGGAATCGAACCAGAGATTTGTGAGTGGGTTTGTATCTGAAAATACCAGTCAATATATGATATTCTTAAAGTATTTAGACCTTTAAAGTTATGGTAGAATAATAGAGCATAAATTATTATCATCACACATGGACATTTTATTCACTCTATGGAGTACAGAAATCCAACCAATATTTCCTGGAGAAAAAAAAATTGCTTTTATTTAAACTGGAGAACTCTAAGCAGAACAATGGAAAGTCAGTGGACTGCCTTTTACATTTGTCCCATCCCCATTGACTGTTCTCAAAGACCAGAAGCATGAATTGCTTTCAGAAAAAATACGTTTTAATGATCAAGGATGCCCACCCCTGCAACATGATCCAGACAGGGAAAATAATTGAGAGGGAAAGGAAATTTAAAAAAAAAGAATCACAGATTGGGAAGTGAGCAAGTTAATGACCAGGTCACAGAAATTATGTCTTAAACAGCTCTTGCCATTTTAAAGCAATTTCTGAGTCTCGGCTCTGAGTCTTAACTGGTTGATGTTCACAGTGCGTGTTAGACTAATCAGTGAGATTCAGAGGTCAGAGTCAGCCAGGGAAATGTCATTGCAGTCATTGCTCAGGTCCCTGCACTTGGAAATCGATGTAACAGCTGCTGCTGTGTGAGCCTACAGGGTTGTCCCTATGCCCAACATGGGGTACAGAAACTGGTTTGTGTGGGGAGGGAAAGGGGAAAGCTTGCTGGGAAGAGAATCTGTTGATTTCCCCAAAGAATGCAATACCAGAAGCAGCCACACTACAGGAAATAAGCCATCTTTTCTTCCAGGAAAGATGACTTCAGTTGCTTTGAAAGGAATCAAAAAAAAGTAAGCAGAAGTAAGGGTATACTACTTGGTCAGAGAGCCACATGAGTCCTCCATGCAATGGTACTGAGGCCACAAGCCTGGTCCAAACTGGGAAGGGTTAGGAAAGTTCAGTCTTCTGAAGGAAGGGTTGCATTTATGAAGCTTTTCATTCACTCACAGAATCTCCTTGTTGATGGGAAATGTGCACAAATGTAGTTCTTCATTTGTATTTCTAGGGTGGTTTGGCTCAGTTTTAGCTACAGAATGTTATTGTCTCATCATTGTCAAGGCCACAAGTTCAAAATCTAGCTGGGGAAAGAAGGGCTGGTTCCTTTAGGGGCTGCACAGAAGACAGATCTGTGCTTCTGTCCTGGTACTGGTGGGCGGCTGGCAATTTGGAGCTGGCCTTAGTTTGTACCCAAGTCTCCCTGCCCTCTGCTTCTATTTCTGCATGATGTTTTCTTTTGTTGGATAGCTAAAATTCTGCTTATTGTAAGAACACAGCTCATATAGGATTAGGGGCTCATCCTCATCCACTATGACCTCATCTTTGCTAATTATATCTGCAATGACTCTTTTCTTAAATAGTATAACATTCTATACCACGGAGGGTTAAGATTTCAATATATGGACTAAGGAGAGGGGTACAGAGCAATTTATAATAGACGATAATAATCAAAATGTGTTTATTGCGCTTGACACCAGTGGCTGATTCCTTAACCCAATGTGCAGAGAGAGAGGGGGGAAGACAGAGAGAAGTGGGGGGAGAGAGGGAGAGGGAGAGAATTTTAGGGAAAGAGATTTCTTTATTAAAATGTGGAAACCGCTGAAAGTATGACAGCCCCAGTTCTCCTAGCCATCTTCAAAAGGCTGTGCAACAGAGAGTCGGGCAGCTAACAAGCACAGGCAATAACAATGTAGAACATGGCAGTTATCCTCCTTTCTCTTGATCATTATTCACATTTGTTTTTAATGTTTCATTTCTTCCTGAAATACCCACCAGTCAGATAATGGACACTACTAAGATATCACTTTTCTGATTTTTTTTCTGTCTTAACATTATCTCTTGTCATCTTTGCTGAAGCTTCTGCCTAACAATCGCTTTCTTTCCAAAAGTTTATTTCATTTTCTGATGGTTACCTTTCATTGAGTCTTGTTTGCCTAAGCTGTGATCCACCTACTTTAGGCTTTCCCTCAGTGATCATAGATAGGTGCCACTTCACTGGCTACCCTTTCATGGAGATGTGAGTCTTGTGGATTTTTCTGCCCAGGCTGGCCTGGAACCAAAGTCCTTCAATTCTCAGTCTCCAATATAATTTGGATCACTGGCATGAGCCCCTGGCACCTGGCTCATGCTATCTTATTTTTCGTATGGTTGAAGTAACTTCTGAATAAATCCTTTTGAGAATAGTAATTAGAATTTTTGTTTCTTTTGTTTGCAAGACATTTCTATTAATTCCAGAAGTCGTTGTTTGGTTTTCAGTATTTCAACTTCTTTGTGGACAGTATTCTTTACAAGTAGATTGTTTGCAATTAGATGAACAGAACTTGGTGTGCTTTCTGGGAAGTTTTGTTATTTGCTGATTGCTGTGTACCCAGGCCTCCTATAAAGCTGCATCTTTTATAATACAGTAGCTATCTGAGGGCTCCTTTACTAGTGGGCTTCACTTTAGAAGAGCTGAGGATCTCCCAAATGTCAAAAAATCTGTCAGATAGTATGAACTGCCCGGTATTGCCCTTGTGTTCTCTTTGCTCTGTAAGTTCATTCATTGACAGGCATTTGAACTGAGTCTCTAGAGGAAGGAAACATACATACATATATAAGAGAGAGCTTGCATGTGTGCACATGCATACACACACACACATACATGCACATACATGCACATACAGCATTTTGATGTCTTGAACAGAAAATTATTTCTGGGCCTTTTAACTCTAGCCCTATCCCTGAATGAATTCCTGCTTAGTATGTGGCTGGGGTGGGAGTGGGAAAGTATGGAAAATTGTTGTGGCCATCGGGGATATAGGGGGTGGGGGATGGGATGAAGAATAGTAAACAAGTTTTATGAATGTCCAAGTGGAAGGTTTAAGGAACTTAGGGTAGCATGTTTTAAAGATGGCAGCCTGGGATGAGGAGACAAATACATGAATTAAAATAGTTTTACAGAGGAAATGAAGACTAATAGTAAAAGGTGAAAGAAGAGGCTGAAATATGCAATAAAACAAAATAGAGAACTGCCTACCCTGTCTCTGTTGCCTAGTCCTAGAAGACAGAGAGAGTTGAGGAACTGAGAAAAACCAATATACCAAAAAACTAAAATCTTGCTCATAGCTGGAAACCTAAGTTGTAGGGGCAGCACTGGGTGGAAGGAGGCACAGATAATGTATGGCAGAGACAACATAAGATTTTTAAATGACACACACCTGTAATCCTAGCTACTCAAGAGGCTGAAATCAGAGGACTATTGTTTGAAGCCATCTGAGGCAAGAAAATCTCCAATTAACCACCAAAAAGACAGAAGTAGAGCTGTGTCACAATGGGTAGAATACTAACCTTGAATGTAAATAGTAAGGGACAGCACTCACACTCGGAGTTCAAGCCCCAGGCCCAGGACTAGTACAAATAAATTCACACCCACTCACACACACACGCACACACACACGTGCGCATACCCACACGTGTACACACACACACACACACACACACACACACACACACACACACAGAACTTGCCTGGAGAAAAATAGGGGGAAAAAAAGAAAAAGGAGAAATTCTTCTAAAAGAAGAAATTCAATACTTTTATCATGATAAATTGCACCTCGAGTTTTCACAAAGTATCTAGAATTCTAGATATGAATATGAAAAA